TCTTCGATAAAACAAACGCTGAGACTTCACAGATTAGAGTTTAAACTGGTCTTTGGCTTCTGTGCTTCCTCGGGGAAACGAGATGTTTTGAGCGGTCGGTCTGGAGTTTGATACCCACCGGTATCATAAGTACATCCCCTGCTTTCTTCACAGTGTAGGAAACTGATGAGTGGAGTTTGGTCTAATGGTACGGTGACATTTCTTTGAATGTACATTGTTTTATGTTTATTAAAGGCAGAATATGACCCAAGATTTGATCTAAACATAAACTTCTTTTGGTATCATTTTTAAAGAGCTCCATGACTTTGCCCGCGCGCGTGGAATGACTGACTGATTTGACGGGAGAGGAGTTACCACACGCCACAAACGCCGACTCTGCGCTGAATTGCGCATTTAAAGCCTTTAGCTCTACTCAGATGTTACAGTGAACACATATAAGTGAGAAGGAACAATAAAGTGACGGCACATTGGCATTTCACTAACACTTTGTTGTTTAGAGGATGAAATACAGATAATCTGCAGAATCAAACCAATAAATACCACAACAAGACTTGACAAGTGCGCCATGAGGGCCGGAGGCGTCTCGGCACGCGGATTCCAGGCTCCCACTTATTGTTGATTTCAGTTTGTGTTCAAACTTACAAGTTCACACTTATTTTTGTGGTTTGTTAAAACCACACGACACTTATGCCAAATAATACAAAAATCAGTTTGTTCCATTTAGTTAACAGTCAGCATGAGGCTGTGTGACTGAGCTGCTGTAGTTTAATTGTGTGACTCCATGCGAGTGGTGTGCGTGTGTGTTTTTTGCATTCAAGCGAAAGTCCTTAAATAAACTTGAAGTATTTTGTGTGAGTTCGCTGGACCCTTGTGGCACCTTAATACCCTCTTCAATTATTTTCCTAGAGGGGGTCCTTGTGTTCGACAGCTTACCGCAATTAAAATTTATTTAGGGCTTACAAGGAATCCTTTCACTCTCGAATAAATCAGGGTGAATTCCTGTGACCCTGACGAGGTTTCCCCTCCCTGTAATTATCCTCTGCTCGACGAGAGCAGGCAGCCCCCCCCCGAGCATTACCCCAGAGCTTTGCATTTGTAATTAAATCATAAAACCACAACAACTGCAAATTTAGTTTTCAAAACGAGCGGCGCGAGGCTGTCATCTAAGGAACCGGGTGCGTTCCAGGTGTCATTTTATCTATTTATTTTATGTGAAGATGAGAAAAGTTGTACTGTGACACTCAGGAGATTACAAGTTTCAGCAGGTACGGACGCATTTA